GCATCACACACAATACCTTTTACATTTACATATAACCCATCCAAACTGCTTAAATTACCATATTATGTTAGTGACTAGCCAATCATCAGAGTTAGTAGTCACATGTTAAATTTGGGACTTGTTTTGCTGTGGAAATTTCTGAGATCTTTTCTCTACTTGCAACATTGGCTTTCTTGTTTGCCTGTGAAAATCCTTTTGTTTGGTAAAAACGTCTTTTGTTTGAGGTGGATTTATCCTTTGCTCTAAACCATAAAATCCCTTCCAACTCACTTGCTCTTTGCCTTCCAGTTACCCAGTCAGACTGGCTCAGCAATTCTTTTCTTCTATATCAAAACTTGCTATTATTTCTATTCCTTCTTTGGATTCTACATTCAAAGATCTTTCTGTTACACACACACGTCTGTGAGACCTTCCTGCCAAATCCTTATCCTTCCCAACAGCAAATGTTCATGCTGGGGCTCCTCAAGCTGGAATTATCCCCAAGGTCTCTCTGCACCCCACGAATGAGCAGTGGGGGGAGCTTTGGCAAGTCCCTGCTGGCCAGGCGGGGCCTGTGGCACTGGAAAGGTTCCAGTGAACCCAGAGATGTTCCAGAACATCCAGAGATGTTGCTTGGTGCCTTCAGCCTCTTCCCACAATGGGACAAGGAGCCAGGCTCCCAGCACTGCCATTCCTTCTCACTGTCACAATTCCCTGGTTTCTGCCAGGACTGAGTCCTGCAGGGAGCAAACCTTTATGGGCACCTGGAAGCTCTTCTCACCCAGCTGAGGGCCTGGGGATGATGAACTGATCTGATCTGGCTCTGCTGGGGTGGCCACAGAGCTTCTGAGTCATTGCTTGAGTCACGAGGCTCAGCCACAGCATTGGTGCCCCCGGGTGACTCGGTGACATTAATGCCAGGATTTACACAGGGCTTTACCAGGAGCAAAATGTGAGGGGACCGCTGGGAGGAAATCAAGGAGTGCATTAGGTGGGTTTAAACCAGTGCTTAAGCTCAGCTCTGGTGTTCTGCTAAGATCACTCACACAGGCAGTGACCCATCCCTTGACGAGTGAACTCAGGGATGGGGTGGAATCCTGTCTGGAAACCCTTCTGTCCTCACCCCCTTTGCAGCCTGCCCCCGTTCCAGGTGCCCCTCACCACCATTCCCAAGATTTTCCTGTTCCAGCAGCTCCTCACTGCCATTCCCAAGGTTGTCCTAACAGACCCCTCACCACCATTCCCAAGGTTTTCCTGTCCCAACAGACCCCTCACCACCATTCCCAAGGTTTCCAAGTCCCAACAGACCCCATCCCAACGTGCCAGTAGGTTTCCCTGCCCTCCCAGTTTGTAAATAAGCTCAGGGAATGTGAGTTTTCCCCCTCTCATTTCCCTTGGAATGATGGAATCATTAAGCTGGAAAAGAGCTCTGAAACCCTCGGGTGCAGCCATTAACCCATCACTGCCCGGTCCCCATGGAGCCATTTCCCTTCTGCCCTCAGGGACCCCAGCCCAACCAAGGTTTATAAATCTGCATTTGTGCCTGCGCAGGGACAGGGGGCAGCTGTCCTGGGGCTGTCCCGGGGCAGGGAACACATCCTGCTCCACCTGGCTGGAGCTGCTCCCGCCTGTGCCCCTCCCTGGGGTTCTCCTGCTGCGGGATGAGCCCTGCTCAGTCCTCAGTGGGAGCCTGGAGGCAGAGGAGGGGAGGATGTGACCAGCACTCATCTCACAGGGGGACTGGGGTCCTGTGAGCCCTGCTGGGATCAGGGATTGCGGGATGGCTCCTGGAGAGGAGCGAGGAAGGTGAGGGAGAACAGAACAGTCAGCACACGAGCTGTCTGCCCAGCCTTCTCCTCCTTTCTCCCCCTCCTTAAACCAACTCTGAGTGAATTTGTGGATAATCCACACATGGCTCGGAATCCCAAGGGCCCTGGGGAGAGCAGCACATCTGCAGCACAAGGATGGGAAGGCTGGGTTTGATTGCAGGGCTCGATCCCGAGCAGATGCTCAGCGAGGGCATCACCCCGCAGCGGCCGTGGGGAGGAGCAGGGGGCGGCTCTTGCCTGTGCCAAACCCAAATTCCACCCTGTGACCTCAGGGTGGAATGTGAAAACTGGGCTTTGGTGATGCCCTGGCTGTGCAGAGCAGTCCTGTGCAGGTTTTGGTGTTGGTTTTTGTAATATTTCTCTCGTGGCTGTCAAAAGGAATTTTCAGGCAAACAAACCCGTGATTTCTCTCTTTTGATGAAATGATGCTGCAGTCTCATGAGGTGCTAGGGCAGGGAAGGTTTGTTTTCTGCAGCTTCACATGAATGTTAAAGGGATAATTTTTACCAGGCAAAAGTAGGGTCTACTTGCCTTGCTAGTTAAGAGTTTTAATTGAAAAAGCAGTCAATAAGGGGATAAAGTATTTTTCAATGGTATCTTTCTTTGGAGGTTGTGGAAAATGCTCTCATTAAGCTGATAATTAAAGCCTGGGAAGTTAGTGATGATACCTGGCAGAGGCACAGGGAAGTCACGAGCAAGTCTTGTACAAAGTCAGAGCCCAGCAGTGCTGGGGTGACAGCTCCTGCCACCAAGGAGCCCGGCTGTGCAGTGCAGAGTGTGGCTCCTGAACGAGGCACAGGGCTCTTTGGAGGGAGTTTTGTATCAAATGTCACTTTTCCCCACACAAAAAAGGGATATTCATGCCTGCTGAAAGATCTTAAAAATCCCAGTCTGTCTGAGCAGTTCACCACAGCCCCCTTTCCTCTGGAATCTCGTGTGGGACCGAGTCCTGCCTGTGCTCTGGGGGTGCAGTGACATTGGAGAGAGCCCGAGCTGAGCAGGGCCGTGCTCGGTGCTCGGGGTCACACAGGCACAGCCAAATGTATGCGGGGCCAGGCACCAGCATCTCCTTAAAATGCAAATTGTTTTTTTGTTAATCTGGCTAATTTAAAGAAATTAGCATCCCAAAGCATCCCGATTTGCATCCCAGCGCGTGGATTCGCTGCTGCGTGTGCCATGGAGCGCTGTGTGTGTAACTCACCCGGGGCCGCTGTCACCTTCCCGAGCATCCTGCGGGCACTGATCCAGCCCCGGGGGCAGCGCGTGTTCCACAGCCCATAAATGTTTAAAGAATGGCTCTCCAAGTGATGGGGTGCCCATCAATAAGCTCAATAAGCTGTCCCAGAAATGAGCTCGGTCCTGCCGAGCCCCAGAGCTGGGAGCGGCTTTAGCAGCGGGACGGGCGAGTTTGACAGGATCCCTGCAGGGTCACTGTGAGAGCCTCGCCCCGGGATATTCCCTCCCAGAAATCCCAAATCTCCCGGTGCCTGGAGAACGCAGTTCGGCCCAGGGAGTGCTCGGGCTGCGCTGGGTTTGTGCTGGGTTTCTGCTCGGGCTGAGCCGGGTTTGAACCGGGTTTGTGCTCGGGCTCGGCTGGGTTTGTGCTCGGGTTAAACCGGGTTTGAGCTGGCTTTATGCTCGGGCTGAGCTGGGTTTATGCTGGGTTTATGCTCGGGCTGAGCCGGGTTTGTGCTGCGTTTGTGCTGAGTTGAGCCGGGTTTGTGCTCGGGCTGGGCTGGGTTTGTGCTCGGGCTGGGCTGGGCTGGGTTTCCCACGCGTTTGTGCGGAGATAAGGATATTGCGAGGTTGAGATCAGCCACGCACCTGCTCGGAGAGTGCACACGGGGCGTGACACAAAGCACAGATGTGACATAAAGCATAAGTATAATAAGAGGTACAGGTGTGATAAGAAGCATAGGTGTGGCACAAAACACAGGTGTGACACTAAGGACAGGTGTGATAAGAGGCACAGACAGTGGTGGTGCCAGACGGGGCACACCTGGCACACGGTGTGCCTGTGGCACTGCTGGCATTTCAGTCCCGGCCCTGACATTGATCTGCTGGAGTGTCATGCTCTGAGACTCTTGTCACTCCTGCTGATTTACACCAGCAGCTCCAGGGAGGGCTGGATGTGGTCACTCCCAGCTGAAGGGGAGTAAAACACAACCCCAAATGCTGCAGGGGCTGGTTGTGATCCCACACTGCTCTGATTTATCCACCCCCATCAGTTCAGTAACATGGAGGAGGAGATGTCCATGGCCTGATCAATGAAGGAGATTTTCCACAAGATTAGGTTAAGTGATCTCAGGAGATCTGGCATTGAACTGCTCAGACAGACTGGGATTTTTAAGATCATTCAGCAGGCATGAATATCCCTTTTTTGTGGGGGAAAAGTGACATTTGATACAAAACTCCCTCCAAAGAGCCCTGTGCCTCGTTCAGGAGCCACACTCTGCACTGCACAGCCGGGCTCCTTGGTGGCAGGAGCTGTCACCTGTCCCTGCTGGTGGCACTGAGGCTGTGCCTGCCCTGCCTGCTCTGCATGCTGGGCAGCCTGGCTGAAATGTTTGCTGGATCTGGGATAGCCTGGCCCTGCTGGATTTCCAATACCTGGCCCCTGCTCTGCCTGCACTCCCTCCCTCTGGAGCCTGGGGCTGGCCCTGTAAAACTTGTGCAGAACCTGAGAGGGAGAGCCCTGGGCTCTCTCAGCCCTCCCTCCCTCTCAGCTGGCTCCTGGCCCCCTGCCAAAATGGCCTTTTGGGAAGTGCCTCTGGACTCTGGATCTGAGGAATGACCTGTTCCCCTCAGTGCAAGGCCTGATTCTGTCCTTGGGGGCAGCTGGGGCACAACAGGGGCCATTCCCTGGCACAGCAAAGGATTTGGGTCTGTGGGCACTGGGAAGTTGCTGTGAAGGTTTCCCAGGGCATGCGGCAGGTCCAGAGGGACACGTTGGGCTCTCAGGGGTAATTAATTGATAATAATGAGGGTGGGGAGGCCCTGGAACAGATATCCAGAGATTCTGTGGCTGCCCCTGGATCCCTGGCAGTGCCCAAGGCCAGGCTGGAGGGGGCTTGGAGCAGCCTGGGACAGTGGGAGGTGTCCCTGATCACATCACTATATGGCTCTAAAAGTCCTTTCTAATCCAACCTTCTCTCTGATTTCTGAATCTCTTATCTTTTCCTCTCATTCCAGGGGATGGCCAGGTGGATTTTGATGAATTTATGACCATTCTGGGACCTAAGCTGGTGTCATCAGAGGGCAGGGACGGCTTCCTGGGGAACACAATAGACAGCATATTCTGGCAGGTAAGTGAGCATTGCTTTAATTGCAACTTCAGCCAGCTCTCAGCAGCTTCCAGAGTGGATGTTTTCAGGAGCACAGGATGTTTTACCGAGTGGGAATGATTGTGGAAAGGGTGTAGAGGTGCCTCATGCTGGGAGGTGTGGAGGAACATCCCACGTTGCTGGAGGGAATTGTGTCCAGCCCAGCCCTGTGTTCCTGTGGATGAATGCAGCTGGACACAGCAAAGCACCCCGAGACTCCTGCAACACCTTTGGGAGGCTGCAATTCACTTTTGGAGGAGAAAAGCATTTTTCTCCAGGAATCTTTTGAGTTGGGAACCTTGAAGCCACCCAGCTGCTTCTAAAATGTGTCCCTGTTCAGTGTCCCTTGCCTGTGGCAGGACTTGTTCCACACACAGGGAATGTGCTGGGCAGCTCAGGGCCCACTGGGGTTTCTGCTGAATTCAGGGATGAGATCAGCAATACCTGTGTTGTGCCAGAGAAGGTTTTGCCCCAGGTACTGCCCTGGGGTGGTTTGGTCCTGCTGGTCCCAGGCATTGGAAGGAGACAGATCCAGCACTGGGAGCTGCTTTTTGCCTGCCCTGCAGTGAGACTTTAAACAGCTCTGGAGCTTCCAGGAAAAGCAGTCCGGGCTGTTATGGCAGGATCAAAAATCCTCAAAACACAGAGCTGCACGTTTGCAGCCAATGGATCAAATGTGTGGCTTCCTGTGGGATTCCAGCTCCTTTCACTGACCATCCCACAACCTCTGCTAAGAAACTTTGGCTGTTCCCAAGTTTAATGAAGCAAAAGAGCCAAACCTGGAAATGAGAATTTCTGCCTTCTTTTACAACCCTCCAGCCCAGTCCAGACTGAACTGGGTGGAGCTTTGGAAGAGTATTTTAAAAGGCTTTTAAAAACTTGTTCCTGGCCTCCTGGCATGAGGCAGGAATAACACTGAAAATTCTGCTCTGGATTCCAGGATCTGGTTGTCAAAGCAGGAGTTTGGTGCGGGTGAAGCTCCCATGGTTTGTGATGTACTTGGGGGGAGTAAATGGCACCAGGAGGGGCAGGACTGGGAGCCAGTGATGTTTTCTTGCCTCCACTGCTCCTTGGGAGCCTCATGCCAGCCTGGGAGGGAGAGGAGGGTATCCCATCCCATGCCATCCCATGCCATCCCATGCCATCCCATGCCATGCTATCCCATCCCATCCCATCCCATCCCATCCCATCCCATCCCATCCCATCCCATCCCATCCCACTCATTGGCACCTGAGCCTTCCAGAATTCTCTCAGGAGCCCCTCAGGAGCTGCTCAAGAAGCAAAAATCCTTGAAGGAAAATCAAGTTTATGAGCTGAGCTCTTGGATGGGGAGCAGAGAAGTCTGGAGCCTTCCTGAAAATTCTGCTCACAGTTTAATCCCCAGCTTTTAGTGACCCTCCCACCTCTACAAATGCCTGGAATGAGGCTGGGAGAAGGGATTGTGCCTGGATTTAGAGCAGCGGGGTTCCTGGGATCAGATTCCATAGGGACATGGCCCTGGTGCCTCCCTGGCTGTGGTGGGACAGGGAAAAGGGAGCAGAGGCTCCAGGTGGGAGCCCTGAGTGGGCAGGAACAGCCCCGGGGGCTCCTTCAGACAGCAAAGCTCCGACTGAATTCCACAAGTGCTCCGTGGCCTTGGAAAACATCAGTTATGGGCTTTAGCACCTCTTTACTCAGCACTGCCCTGCATTTCTGAGCCCTTGAAGAGCTCCAGTTGCTTTTCCTCTGAGGTCAGAGTACAATGTCTTTGCAGCTTTTTCCCAAAGAAAAAAACAAGGAAAAAACCATGGAAGTGTCATTTAGGGAACAGGTCCCCTTTGCCCATTGCTCCTTGGCTTTACCCAGTCCATCTGCAGGGCCTCAGTCACCTCATCCCTGAGCATTTCTGCCTCTGCATCATCTCCTGGGGGATTCCTGAGGGCAAACCAAACTTTTGGGAATTGGGGCTTGGCCGTGTTTCCCATTTCCCCCTGATGTGCAGTTTCCATATTTCTGGAGCAAATGGCAGAGGCTGAGCCTGGGCTGCTGACAGAGCCCTGCAGCCACTCCTAAAGAAGGATTTTCAGGAGGGAATGGTGCCCACAAGGCTGTGGCTGTGCCCAGTGCTGGGGGGCAAGGATGGGACAAAAGGGACACCTGGCTGGGCAGTGCCACCAGGAAACCTCACCCCAAAGCTTCTGAAATCAGTCTCACTGGAGGGAGAGACCATGTGGGCATCCAGAAAGTGCCTTCCCCTCTCCCTCCAGCCCTCCCCACGCTGGGATATCTTTGCCAAGCTAATTTCTAAGGGCAAAGACCTCAGGGCTCCAGTGTTAAACACTTCCTGCAGGATGGAATTTGGAGGAGCTCCAGGCCCTGGGGCTCAGCAACAGGCCCAGAGGGAATAACAGCCCTGGATAACTGGTTTTTAATGAAATGAACCTCTCTGGGGTGGCTGAGATGCTTTGGGAAGTGGGATTGTTAAAAACCAGGGCTGCATCTGCATCGGGTGTAGGAGAATTCTGTGCCCACAGCACTGACGAGGTCATTGGGAAAAGTCAACTCTGTACCAAAGCACTGCCTGATGAATTCCTCTCCTTTTCCCTTTGCTGTGTGCACATGGAGCCTGCAGGGAATTCCAGGCAGGGTATCTGGGGGCTTTGTGTGGCATGAGGGGACAGTGCTGGGTCACCCCTGTTCATCCCAGCACGAATCCCTGGGGCTCAGCAGCAGTCTGGCCATTTGGGGATGGACAAAGCTGCTTTGCAGGCAGGGCAGGAGCAGAATTCCAATGAGGAGATGCTGCTCAGAGCTCTCATTTCTCACTGTTGGGATGGCTCAGCAGCTCTTTGTGTTTTCTGGGTTTGGGGGAACCTTTTCCTTTCTCCAGGCTCCCACAGACTTTTGCTAAGGGGAAGGATATCCTGGGGTTTATGGTCTTTGATGGGTGAGTAGGAATGGCCAAAAATCCAACAGCAAGGGGGGAGGGATGTGCAGGGACCCCTGAGGTCTGAGCTGCACCCTCAGCACAGGCACCAAAGGACACTTTGTTCCCTGGAAAATGGAGCAGGGACCACATCCAGCTGTGGGGTTTGCATTTGGGGCTGACTGGGGAGGGAATTGAAGGAGAGGAAGGGGGATCAGCACTGGCTGGGAACACGGGAGAGCAGAGGGACATGACTGGGATGGGACACGGAGATTTCCCTGCCCAGCCACTGAGAGCTCTGCCCACCCCCAATCCAGTGTGCAGTTATAGCTGAGAATGCAGGAGAGTCCCAGGGGACAGATCTGGGCTCTCCTGAGCTGGTCAATCAATTAGTGCCTTAATAGAGTGAAATGAAGGGGAAAATGTGTGGGAGTGGCAGTGGCACAGGGCAGGGCATGGAGGGAGCAGGGAATGAGGGAGCAGGGCGTGAGGGGCTGTGTTGGGGCTGTTTCCAAAGACAGTTTTGGCTGGAGAGGGATTTTTCTTTATGGAGTTTAGAGATAAACCTGCTGCAGTTGCTTCCTGTGTGTGAGTTTCTCCTCCTGTCCCTGCAGAGGAGTTAATCTGATGGTGGTAAATGAGCCTTGCTGCAGAGGAATTGTTTGTGTCTGTGTCCAATCTGATGTGGGAACAGATCCAGGTTCCCCTCTGGGGTCAGCCCTTCCTCCCCCTCCTCCTCCTCCTCCTGAGGCAGTGCAGCCCCTCTGGGCAGGTGCAGGATGTTGTAAAACCACAGGATGGGACATTTTACATCTTGCAGAAGAATTCTTTGCTGGTGCTGAGCTGCTCTGCTGCAAAAATCTCGATTCCTGGATTTCAGGAGCTGCTGTGTCAGCTTTTCAAAGAACCTTCTCAAATCGACTGCCGGGGAGGAAGGGAGGTGGGAGATGGGGAAGGAATTCTGTACTCAGAGGGTGGGCAGGCCCTGGCACAGGGTGCCCAGAGCAGCTGTGGCTGCCCCTGGATCCCTGGCAGTGCCCAAGGCCAGGTTGGACATTGGGGCTTGGAGCAGCCTGGGACAGTGGAAGGTGTCCCTGCCATGGCAGGGGTGGAATGGGATGAGCTTTAAAGTCCCTCCAAGCTTTAAAGTCCCTCCAAGCCAACCCATTCCAGGTCTCTGTGATTCACAGCCCTCCCTCTTGGTGGCTGCTCTTGGGTTTAAATCAGGAAAAGCAGCTGAAAAGTTTGGGTGGAAATTTGATGCACGGGCCAAAGATGGAGCACTGGGGCTGGACCATTGCACCAGGAACATCTCCCCAAATCCTCCTCCACCAAACAAATCATCCCACAGCACTGCCTCGTTCTGGACAGCACTTTTTGATTATTGAACCTGAGATATCTTCAAGTGATTTCCATAGAAAAAAAAAATCCATACATTTAAAATATCAACCATTTCTTAGGTTTCCCCACCTGGAAAAGTAAAGGAGAGGTTGGAAACCTTGGCATTGATTATCCTGGAAAACCACTGCAATGAGAGCTGGGAGCCAAGGCAGGACTTTTCCTGGGACACTCAGCTGTGGTCATTGTGTTCACCAGTGCCCCTTAACTCCAGTATCCTGATCATATCCTAATTTCAGGAATTAAATATCTCCTGCCACAGCTGCTCCTGCACTTTAGGTCATGGTTTCCTCATATCCATATTGAAAAGGTGAGATTTTCCATGGGAGGATGCAATGGCTGGTGTGAAGTTCATCCCAAAAAACCTGGGGAACTTCTCAGTGTCCTTTAGCTCATCCCAAATATCCTGGGATTCTCCTAGAGTGTCCTTTAGCTCCTCCCAGATAACCTGTGACACCCCCAGGGTGTCCCTTGGAGCTATCAGAGGGAAACAGCCACTTCCAGGGTACAGTTCAAGGGATCTGCTTTGGGCCTCAGGAAGGGATAAATTGTGCTTCAGAAGTGCCATTTTTACTGCATTTGGTATAAAAAAATGTGGAGGGAAGTGGCTCAGGTGGAGCTGTGTGCACTGGGGACAGCTAAATGTCACCTTGTGGGTCCCAGCAAGGCTTCCAAGGCC